TGGTGATCTCCAATTTTTGCTTTCCCTGCAATCGTTTTCCTATTGGATGGTTTGATAGCAATTCAGATGTTGACCCGTGTAGCCAGATAACTGGAGGAAAAGTAATTAGGCCATGGGTTGCCCTGGATCATGAAGTTACCTGACATGAAAGTAACGTGGCCACATGATATGCTGTGTGACCTGTTTACTAACTTAGCCTTCTCTGGCAAGTAGAGTAATTAATCATCATTCTGGAGAGTGCACACACATTCCTACCAACAAATAGTGACATGCTTACAGAGGGCAATCCCTCTAAGTACTACAAAACATGAGTCATTTGACTAAAGGGTATAGCAATCAAGCTGAAAACCTGCTACATAGTTAAATTAGGAACAAGAACAGCTTCATTTTCTTTTCAGTCCTTTTTTAAGTGCACTGTGAAGCTCTGGTAGGAATAAGAGATCGGGTTGGAAATGAAGTGTGATAGCATTGATATGAATAATTTTCAACAACACCAAAGTGAATCAAAGGAAAGTACCTGTGAATTTCCTTAAATGACTTGCTGGAGGGTATTGTGTGGTAACTATATTACCATAGTCCCCCTTTTCTTTTTCAATTAGTATTGTTAAAGAGAAGCTTGATGATAGACTTCCTAACAGCGGCAAAAATAAATTCTCTCCAATTAAGTAGTCTAATAAGCTATTTAGGATTTTACCACTTAACATTCTTTCCTTCCCATTTAATTTTGGCTTTCACTTGGATGTCATCTTGTTGAAAATCCATCACAGAAAACTATGTGGAAAAAAAGATAATGTTGCTAAGTGCTCCTGAGTTTCCAAAACGAGCAGAAGCACAATATTTTTTCTAAATCACCCCAGGATCTTCCCTAATAACTCAGCTTCTTCCTACTAGAAATTAATATATGAAAATATATGAAAATGGTCAATATGCAAATTCAAATATCACACTAGTTACTCATCTTCAGTAAGTGCTATACGCATATATTTGGAACAATACAATATTTTAAGGTTCTTGATGATAATAATGTTCTGGTATGCATATGTGCATGTATAATTATGCTCATTTAATTTAATCATGAAAATATTATAGGATCATTTGGTTTTCTCCTCTAAAAGTTCTCTCACTTTTTTTCAATTAATTAATTCCACTCTGCCCCTTTTATAAGTCAGCCGATGGTAAGAAATGGTTTTAGGATTAAAAGGAGGATGATCACATTCCTGCAGAATGATGGACAGAAAAGAGGCATATGGGAGGGAAGTGGGATTTTGTCCTTAGTATACAGTCTAATCGAGGAACAGTGTTAGGCTTTCCAGTATAACATGGTCCTAGAAATGCCCGAATTTTCTGATCATTTCTTCCTGCAAGTTTCCAGTGTCCCTGAATGCTGAGAATTTGCCTCAGGGGCAGTCACCTGATTGCAACAGAAGCCCTGTAAACCAGCTCTTGTGACTCACACATTCCACATGCTTGAGTGGAGTGGAGCTTGTGGGACTTTGCAGAATTACTGGAATCACATGGGATGTACTGAAGGGAGCAGGAGGGTGGAGGGCATTTAACTTAACCATGAACTAGAAGAGTAGATAACACCATGGTAAGTAGAGTAAGAAGGAACATGTTGACTGAAAGGGAAGAAACGCGATACAAAGGTCATTGCATATTATCCCTCCCCCGCCAAGGAAATCTTATTTTCTTTCTCACAGAAAAAAAAATTTTCTTTCTCACAGGACCAAAAGTTTTTTGTTCCTTTCCCCAACATGTTAACAGAGACCAGTGAAAAGAAATAGGCTTCTCTGTGCCCATCAATAGAATCTATATAGCATCTATTTCCCCGGGGATTAATTCAGTTTTTGATTAAATCTTTCTGAGATTTAAATCATGATGTTACAAACCTCCAAGGAGCTCCTCTATGAGTTGTGACCTTCTTTATTACTCTCTGCTGTTTGATAAAGTACGAAGATTGATTTATAATAGTGTATACTGTGTTTGAAAACAAGGAATAGCAAAGAGAATTGCAAAGTATAAGATTAATATAAAGTAAACATTGCAAAAACTACACCTTGGTTAAAATATTCTATAATTAATACTGAGTTACAACTGTAGCTAGTAACACTAGTGTCAAATGAGTATAATAATGCTCTCAGTCATAAATTTTATCCAATGATTAGCTAAATAATGCTACAAGAAAGAGAAAACCGGCAATGCTGAAAAAGGATTTTGAACCAATATCACATTAAACAGATTTAGTTTGGAGGACTTTTGAATTGAAACAAGCTCCTTTTCAATAAATTACTCCTATCCAGTGTTCATTTATTTTCTCAGCCTAATTTTGGTTTCAATAATTATTTTGCCATTAGTATCTTCAAGGATGGAAGTGATTTAATGTTTGAGGACAACATCAAATGAATCCTTTATCTCTAATCAGAATGCTCCTGTATATGACTAGTGGCTACAACTTTTTTCCCCTTGAAAATCTCTCTTTACCCTCAAAAGATTTTTAAGGGTAAAAAGATAACCCTTTAAAGGGAAGATTGTCTTTTTTCTACTGCTCTCGCTAATTCCAACCAGAACATTCAAAATGCCCTGTTCAATTTAACCATCAATGAAGACAAGTTGTGATGTCAGGCTTATCCACCGAATCACAGTTGTAGAAGAATGCAATATTTGGATAAGATGAGAGTAAGTCTTTATCTTCTCTTCTGATATAATAATTGGCAAATCTTGCAGTGGTATAAAATAGAAAGAGAGCCATAGCAAGTGTTTCTTGGGTTACCTAGCAGATTTCAATGTATTATTGGTTGCTCTATCACATTTCCAATAATTATGAATATTTTTTCCTGTAGGAGGAAGGGGAACTGGGGGCTGAAATATATTTAGCCACATCCCCCATGGCTAGGCTTATGCTGAATCTTACAAGCAACTGGGAGTAGGGACTACCAGCTGAAATCCAGACTTGGCAGAGAGAGCACTAGTAACACATTCTCTGTCATCTCTGTCATGAGGACCACCAATCACCTACAAAGCATGGTGGACATCCTGACAGCAAGCCATACCAGCAGTAATCTATCAACTGGTCCCATATTTAACCTGATGTCTTACATATGACAGAGAGACAGGGAGGTGCATTCTGTTCCAAGTCTTCAAGAAATATTCAGTCCATGCTGTACACCAGAAACTAACATAACATTGTAAATCAATGTTCAGTGGATGGTATAGTTCAACTACACTTCAATAAAAATATATATTCAGTCCATTATGGTAGAATTGCTTCCTAAGCTGAAATATTCAGCAGCTTTCCCACTGAGGCAGTGGCTTGTACTTAAAATTCATACTTTCCAGGGTTAAGTACAAACACAGAGCTAATCTGTTTGATAAAGTCCGACGTCACTTCTCTTTAGAGAAATCACCAGTTCTGCCTTTACTGTTTGAAAGGAGACAAGGTAAAATACAGAAGGCGCACGTTACCTTAGAGCTGAAATCCATTCATGAATATGGAAAAGCAAGGGCAGGGCAGGTGATCGAGAGAGGAAACAGAATAATGATAAGCGAGTAACGTGTATGGATCTGAAGAACGTGCCAGGAGTTTCGTTATGACAAATAAGAAAAGCAGAAGTAGATTTGAAACATTCGTTTCCCTTTATTAGCTCAGTGAGGCTGATGTGTACTGCACATTTAAAAAAAATCACAGGAATTTTCATACAATGAATAAAACCACAACAATACATGTAGAATTGGCAGGTGGAAAAAAACGCCCGGCAAGGGCTCAACTAATCACTCACTTTCCCTCTTCAGCATAGTTCAACCAACAGTATTACACTTTCACCTACAAATCTTAAAGTAGCTCCATCAAGTCAGCAGTTCACATTATTGAAAACGTCTGTCACATAGGTACAAATTTAGAATCATCACATTATATTACATGGCTATTCTAGGTCATCTATAGATCAGGTCTTAGACTACAGTGATTGAAGTTCTCGTTACAGCCATCAAAAAAGGACACATAATCATTACCTACTGTAAGCTCACATCTAAAGGCATGAAAAGGTTTCCTTTTTTTTTCAACTGACCCAACCATCACACCCCAATAGTGCAAAGTTCCCTCTCTGCTGCTTTGAATGTTGACAGCCCAACCGTTGCTCTCAGAGTCATTTAGCAAAAATTGATTTTGTTGCACTGGAAGAATTATTCTGCTACATCTCTTAAAAAAAAAACCCCACATTTCTAAAGCACCAGTTCAGTTACCAAAATTGTAGATGTGGTACTTACCACAGCATGAAGGCAATGGCCCAGGGTCATCTAAAAATCCTACAGATCTATGCTGAAATTTGCCTCCAGTGATGATGGGGTGCATGTGTTCATTTTAAATATACTCTCCACAAAAATTAAAAATAAAAATAAAAGGAACACAGTTGACATTTTGATGGGCTACCCACAGTGTCTGCATAAGATACAAAAGCTCTATTTGGATGGTCTAGTGATTCTCTCTTTGCACTAATTTTAGATGCAATTTGAAGTCCATGGAGGAAAACTATCTTCATGGTAACAATATTTGTCAGGCCAGAAGGGTGGGAATAAATGAATCCTCAACATGAAATCTGTAGTGTTGTCTTTTGACAAGTAAGAAAAGAAACCCAGTCTTTGACTCATGTCAATGATCCAGGGCAAAAAGGAGAATGTATTGAAAATTGGATCACAAAAAATTTAAAGGCAAAATAGAGAACGTATCTGGTCCTTGAACACATAATATGATTTACTAAATATCGATTTCTTAAAAATAATTTATTGCTCTTAATAGTCTTTTTTATTCTTATTCTACAACAGAAGATACTCAGATTTCAGAAAGAAAGACTGTAAACTTTAGTTTGGCGTCCACACAGAGTTAAAATACCTGCATTTAACCTACAGAACAAGAATTAGGCAGATTAAAGATGTGTTACGGCTGTAACGCAGGACCTGTGAACAAGTTCTTTTATTTCATAGTATTTTTATTGCTTTCTATCTACTTAGAAATAAGAAGCCAAAAACTCAAGCAAGCATCCGACAGGACAGACAGTGGATTCACTCTGAACACAATATGCTGGTGATAAATGAATGCAGCTTTCAAAATTAGCTGCATTGGCCTGGGGGTGTAATCCATTTTTATACGATCGTGTTGGGCGAGAGAAAGGAAAAGAATGGTTACATAGTAGGTATATCATGTCTTCCAGAAAAGTCACGTCGGCCATACTGTAACTGAATCTCAACTCAGAAACTTGAATACACACGCCAAACTTTACTGACTTCCATTCCAGGGCTCCACACTCAGAGGAAATCCTGATGCTCAAAAATGGAGGTTTTTCTGAAGTTTTTTTTTTTATTGAATTTAGCAGAAGCAATGTCATCAAGAACAACTTCATGGTCACGTCAGAGGCCATGCTAGTGCAAGTAGAAACACTGCTTCTGCAAAGCGGAATTTCCCAAATGAAACACTTAAACTCCAACCTGACAATTGCCATGCATCCTAGGTAGAAAATTTCCACTGGCTTTATTATTTTCATCAACTCATAATTTATAATAAATAGGCTATCTGCAACTGATAAATATGTCTCTTTAGTAAACAAAGGAATGAAACATCAGTATTTATACAGGATGCATAACTGTAAAAAATACAGATAAATACCATCATCATACTCTGCCAAGGGAAAGAGATACTGGCTTCAAAGAGAGTCTTCAGACACACATTAATTATTGTAAAAATCATACTATAATTATTACCTCAGCATTTTGTATCAAATTAAAATCACAAAAATTAAAACAAAACAGCATTTTAAAAAGATTTTTGACCTCTAGTTTCAAAACTACTGTTGATAGAGAAAATAAAAACATTTCTTAATGGTTACCCATTGAGAGACTTTACATAAAATCATGATATCTTCTAGAAAAATTTTAGATGAGAAAATTTCATTCCCCTAACAAATCCAGTGTATAAAACTTCAAAGAAAAACAAGCAACAAGAAAATGTGGAAAAATATTGCAGAAGTGGTTAATACCTTTAGGGGGCTAGGAGGTTTCTTGACAAGATGCTTAGATCGAAGCTCACCTAATAGGGGATGGTTGTGCATAAAGCATCATTTGTTGTGTTGCACTCAATGGACACACACACTGTCCTTTTTTTGTTTTACAATCAAATATATATAAGCAGTAAGTTCAGCTTCTAAATATGTTAGTGTACAATAATTGTTTCACCTCATAATTACATTTGAATATTCTCGATTAAGAAAAATTTAGCAGTTTTTGAAAAGAAGGCTGCATTTACAGTGCATAGCTGTAACAAAAAAAGAACATCATTGTATAGTATGTACACAAAATAAAAATACTCCATTTAACATCTGTAAATACTTAACTACATCAGAGAATGTGGCAATTAAACGAGCTGAACACATCCCAGAGAGTTCTACCCAACTCTCCTTAGTAATGTAACACCGTGCTCGCTCCTCAGAAAGAACCACTGAATAAGCTGCACGCTTGACCATTGACAAGGCTTTTGAAATTTGCAGTGGGAGATCAACGTTTTGGACATTTACATGGGTGTCAGGAGGAAGGACGAACTACAGAAACTTCAAAATGTTAGGAAAGTTGAGCATTCGGTGCCTGCAGCATCCTCTCCCACCCAGATTCCTTGGCAAAAGGAAAAAGTAAAAAAAGAAAGAAAAAGAGAGAGAAAGGATATGAGTTCTAGAGAACCTGCGGTTTCTTCAGGATTGTCATATAATCATTACGTTGTGAGAGAAAGCTTGCTTCACGTTGATTTTGCACTTTCTTAAAAAAAGAAATAGAGTACGGAGGCTGATGCCCAGACATCAGTGGCTGTCATTTTAGGGTGGCCTGTGGTTGGTTGGTTAGCTTTCTTTCCTTTTGGATGGACGTATTTTTTTTTTTTCCTTTTGAATAGAATATGAACATTTTGAAGTTCTAGGTTTTAGGTGTGTCTTCATGGAACTGCTGCCATTCGAAGTGGTTTGCCCTTGCATGCTCTGGTCAGGTGTCCCCAGTCCCCACCTGTACATACATACTTCCCCAAACCAGGCAAATATACACACAGGCACGCGCACGCGCACACACACACACAGACACACACTCTCCATCACTAAGAGACTCAGGGAAAGCAAAGCTGACACCCATGAATAAACATGTGCTTACTGGAATTCCATCCTGTCTGTTGCCTCTTCAGCAGCTGGGTTCATGTAAACCATTGTTGTTGTTCTTGTATTGTTGTTGTTTTGTTTTTGTACAGAGAGTGTAAAGTAGGAGAAATTCCTAAGTATGACTTGCAATAGTCTTTTAGGGAAGGACGCGCTGTCCCGTGAGGTATTCACCATGCCTCTGTCATCCTTAGCCAGGGAACATATTACCTGCGTAAGCTTCTCTGGGCTTCTTTCAGTAAACTATCGAAATCCAGAGAGTCATACTTGCTCTTGATGGAAGCAGGGTCAAAGTCATCTGAATTTGAATCTGAAAGAAACCCAAGCCAGGTCAGAGGTACACTTTGCTTATGGTCATCAATTCAATCATCTAATTTAAGATAACCCAATTCAAAGACAATTTATCCGGTTAATACACCTTAACAAAATATGCCCAACTTTAATTAGCATATGAGGTTTGTGCTGGTATGTACATATATGTGTACATATATTTACATATATATTTGCAGGAGGTTTTTATATGTATGAATATTAATAATTATGTGTATATCTGCAGAAGGTATTTATATGGTAGATGGTATGGTATATATACACCAATATTTTAATTAATTATGCTTATATATTTATCTGTTTATACCATTTGTATATATTTGCAGAGGGTAGGGAATGATGAATACTCAAAACACTTATCTACTGACTCATTTTGGATTTAAACATTTCTGGAAGGTAATCAAAACAGGCTATTTCTTTTCAATAGCAACCTAGGCAATCAACCTGCTTTAAAAGTAAGGCCCCCCTCCTTCCTGCTATGTTAAATGACTTCCCCAGGTTCCTCAACAACTTAGGCAGAGAGGAAAAAGTAGAAGCTAGAACTAATTTTTCTGTTCATTGGAATTGATTTCATTAAGTATAAAAGACAGACTCATCAGTCTGCTGCTCCCCTCGAAAAAGTTGGAAGGATGTAAGTTCTTAAGTGCCTTGAGGGGCTCCAGCAATGGTGGTACAAGCTCTCCCCAAATTAGAAGGTTTAGGAAAATGCTTCATGTCCAGAGAGGGCAAATTCAACCTCTTTACTCACTAATGGGGCTCCCCTGGTGGCTCAGATGGTAAAGAATCTGCCTGCAGTTCAGGAGATCTGGGCTCAATACCTGGGTCTGGAAGATTCCCTGGAGAAGGGAATGGCAACCCACTCCAGTATTCTGGCCTGGAGAATCCCATGGACAGAGGATCTTGGTGGGCTACAGCCCATGGGGTCACAAAGAGTTAGACACGACTGAGCGACTAACATACAACTTCAAATAAAGCCATGGTCTTTCTTAGATCCTTAAACTAGTCGAAGTAAGCATTTGTGCAAAGCTCCACATGCCACTTCAGTAGCTCTGAACAAAATTGATACATTTCAGTCCCACTAGGTATAAAGTAAAAATACTTTGAATGTTTCTGATTTTTCTTCATTGACACCTAAGAAAAAGTCTACCATTCCTTCAGGTCTTTCAGCTTGAGAAAGGGTATCTTGTATATACAATAGAAAGCCTCAGGCAAACATATTCATTCTTTCGAAAGTACTTACTTGAAGGGAAGACAAAACCTTTCTGGGGGACATTAACAATCCTACTAAAATATGCATATTTGTGTTTTACCCAGATTAAATTACAAAATAGAAATGCTCAAAGTGAAAGAAAAGGGTAATATGAGATAAGATGGAGGCTAATCATTGACTTCACAAGTTGTTCTGATAAAAAGGTGGCAAATCCCTCAAGTTCTATAGAAGCAGGCTGTTTCCCCTACCTCATCAGCTTCAATCTACTTTAAAGACATCTTACATTTAAAGACAGGGAAATTCTTTCGCTTTTTTCCCCCATTCTCATCATCCCTTGTCTCTACTGCGTTTCTTTGTCCAGGTAAGGTGAACAATTACATTCAGCTTCAAATACAAAAACAGGACAAAAAGAGCCCATCTTTCATCCCCCAAATTTTACATGATCAATCTTAAATTACACAGGCTTACACTCTTCTCTTGAAAGCCTAATGAATAGTTTGATTGTATAACTAAAGCTGCCTGAGCAGCTGTTGTTCAAACTGTAATCTTTTTATAAAGACAAAAAATAAGTTCTGCTCATTGCTAGCGATTAGCTTGAAATCAGAATTTCAGTTACATTGTAGAAGAAGATGACTGAGTCATTCAGTGATAACAGTCCGTGTGACATGAAGTCCACATGAACATATGTGTGACGCTTTCCTTGGAGGAAATTTTGAGAATTAAAATGTCTTAAATTAAGATCATTCTACACGAACCTCAGAATTTCAGTCTTTCTGTGTTTTCATTAGCAAATATTAAAAGTACTTTGATACAGTGGTTATCAAGAGTTTCTTCACTGTGAAATATGGTGGCTGATGCTTACATATATACCAATTTTCATGGGCATACATATGTCAGTAGGCACCCACAAAATAATTTTTATTTGTGAAGAGAGAATGCATCCACTTGTAACTTCTAGGGCAATAACATCTACTTTCTCTCCACTAAAGGAAGGATATATCCACAAGATGATATAATGAAATTTTTATAGGAATAACCTGAAAACCACTCTAATAAGTTTTAAAAATAAAATTTTATAAATAATAATACCATATTAATAGAAATAAGTCACATCACAGCTATATTCCTAGCACCTAGAAAACTGTGGGCACAAAGTGGAGCCGCAATATTTGTTGAATAAATGTATTTTACTGAACACCTGCATATTATTAAAAACCTGATTGAAAATATTTGTGCTGAGATCTGGGACTGACTTACCAATGAATGGCAAGTGTATATTAAAAGTTACATATATATTCAGGATGCTGATAATGTAATACATTTCTTTGAGGTAATAAGAGTTTGTGACCAACATGCTATTTATTTCCTTTTTCTTGCTTAAGTATAAATTCTAATTTGATCATAACTAATTCCTGATCAAAATGATCATATTCTTAATCCTGATCCATCCTTCTATTTTTACCCTATAGTTCTAATTTAATTTCTGTCTTTCCTCTTTAAGATTTTTCATCAAGCTCTTTCAAATGGAAAGATCCATCTGTTTATAGAACAGCAAATAGAAAGATACACGGATAACAGATTCACAGAAACCAGACTTAAATACTGTCTTCATCATGGTAAGCTTGATCATTCCTTTAAATTCTGAGTCTCATTTATAAAGCTCGTAAGTAGTAACTGGAATTACTGCATTTTACATTAATAGTATTGTAATAACCATTAAGTAATCTCAACAGCCAAGAAATGGAGACCTAAATAGGGATATTTCTGCAAAGAAAACATACACACGGCCAATAGGCACATGAAAAGATGCTCAATATTGCTAATTATTAGGGAAATGTAAATCAAAACTATGATGAGGTATCATCTCACACCAGTTAAAATGGGTATCATTTATAAGTCTGCAAATAATAAACGCTGAAGAGGGAGAAAAAGAAATCTTCCTAGACTGATAGTGGCAATGTAAACTGGGGTAGCCATTATGGAGAACAGAATAGAGGTTTTTTACAAAAACTAAAAATAGAGTTGCCATATGATCCTGCAATCTCACTCCTGGGAAGATATCTGAAGAAAATTCTAATTGGAAAAGATGCATGCACTCCAATGTTCATGCAGTTATTTATAACAGCCAAGACATGGAAACAACTTAAATGTCCATCAATAGATGAATGAATAAATAAGATGTGGTGATATGATATACAGAGGAGCCTGGCTACAGACCATGGGGTTGCAAGAGTTGAATATGACTTAGCAACTAAACCACTCATGTAATGGATTATTACTTAGTCATAAAGATGAAATATTGCCATTTTTAGCAACATGGGTTATCAAACTAAGTGAAGTCAGACCTTGATATCTGAAGAAAGACAAAGATATAATATCTCTTATATATTGAATCTAAAAAAAGCAGTATAAATAATCTTATTTACAAAGAAAAATAGACTCACAGACATAGAAAACAAACATGGTTACCAAAGGAGATAGTGGGGGAGGGGGGCAGAGAGGAGGTAAATCAGGAAGTTGAGATTAACATATGCATACTACTACATATGAAACAGGTAAACAAGGACCTATAGTATAACACAAAAACTACACTCAACATGTTGTAATAGCTATAATGGAAAATAACCTGAAAAAGAGTATTATTGTCATTGTTTAGTCACTCAGTCACGTCCAACTCTTTGCCACCCCATGGACTGTAGTAGCCTGCCAGCTTCTTCGTCCATGGGATTTCCCAGGTAATACTGGAGTAGGTTGCCATTTCCTTCTTCAGGGGATATTCCCAACCCAGGGAATCGAGCCCAATGTCTCCTGCATTGGCAGGCAGATTCTTTACCACTGAGCCACTAGTAAAGCCCCCCAAAGAAGATAAATACATATATATGTATATGTATACACACACATGTATATATAGTTTCAAACATACAGAATCACTTTGCTGTATGCTTGAAACTAACACAACATTGTAAATCAACTATACTTCAATTTTAAAATATAAGAGAAATGAGATATGTGAACTAACTTAATTTAGGAAAGCAAATAACATTTTTTTTAAATGGTAATCTAAATGATAGATGCTTTACTTTTGGTTAAATTCATCAGTATCACAGCATTTTAACACTTTAATCTTGATGTGCACATAAGCGGCCAATCCCTTTGAGTCCAGTATATGCTTTTTGTTTAGTCGCTAAGCTGTGTCTGACTCTTGCAACCCCCTGGGTTTAGGCACCTTATTCGGCATTCATGGCCTGAAGCACTCAACTTGAACTCCTCAAGAACAGAGAAAAGACATACAAGATGATGTTCAGTTCCAAAGCTAGTCCCTGGTGTTGATTCTTCCATTTTAAAATAATTTGAAATTTATAACTACCCATCGTCATCACTTTTTATTATAATTATAGCTACCATTTATTGAGAATCTATTTTGTGCCAGACACTGACACTGTGGTAAGGGCTTTGTAAACTGTATATAATCTTCACAGCAACATTACAAAGTATTTTACAAATGAAGCACCAGGAGTCAAGGGAGTTTAATTGCTCAAGGTCAAAAGCTAACTCAGGTTTCAAAACCAGGCCTGCAAGATTCCAGAGCCAAGGCGCTGTCAAACTACACTAGGCCCCTATACTCAGATCCACTCCCTTTCCTGTGATTGTAAGGCTGGAGGGAACTGGAAAAACCTATGCTGCTACAATACACATCAAACATACTTTTCAGGAAATACAGAACCAGCTTAGCAATGGTAAAGTTTCTATTGCCGCTGGCAAGGCAGAGAGATAACAAGGGGGAAGCATTCTTCTTAGAAATATTTCAGGGAGGCTCCAGTTCAATTTGGAAGTACTACCCAATCCTCCCTCTACCAGTGATGAATCGTGATCTAAAGACCCCTCTAGGTAGCTTATTTTAAACTTTAGATGTTTTGAGACACTAGAAAACACCCTGGCCTTCATCACTGAAGAAAATAAGTCAAATCAACTCAAGACTTCAATCTGTCTTGACTGTTTTTATCAGCCAACATTTGAACAAATGACGTGCCACCTTTTATATTTTCATCCCTAGGCCTCTATCTAACAGTCAGCTGCCTCTCCCTTGCTTCATACTATCTATTTAGCTTGTGAAGTGAATTATAGCATATTCCTCCTGAACAATGCACCCCACCTATATCAATTACTCTAGAAGACATCAATTCGGTAGAAGGAAGGAAAAAAACCAGTATTTGGTATTTACTTTTTTTCTTTATACCAAGCCAAAGTAAGTACAGATAGATATGTAATAATGCTTAAGAGCAGATTTCTGTTAATTTCATGATTATTATTATTATAAATTGATTTAAATAATTGTCATATGCATAAGACACTTGCCATTTTCCTTCATTATTTCATAAAGGAACATAAAGGCTTATATACACACATTAGATAGGGACTTATATGGAAAGGAGCAAAATTAAAATTGGAAAGGAAATTAAGATGTCCATTGTGCCATTATTTATAATATCAAAACCAGAAAATGTGTTTAGCTATGATGGAATGATTAAATATAAGGGTACTGCTCATCAAACAGAATACTGTACAACCATTAAAATATACTGGCAAATCATTTTTAACCCTGCGAGTCACAGTGAAAAATGAACTTACATAATATTAATTGAGAAAAGTAGATTTTTAAAGTCTATATATGTATAATATAACCTCAACTATAAGAAATTTGATGTTCTGAGACAAAATACTGAGCAACACATCACTCACTTGGTAACAGTAGTTATCTCTAGGTGATAGGCTGATAGGCAATTTTACTATTTTTCTTGATACCTTTGTATATTTTCCAAATGTTACCCCTTGAGTCTGTACAATTTTTATAACAGGAAAGATGAATACTTATCTATTCTTCAGTTTCCTTATCTGTAAAATGGGGATGATAATACATAATATCCACCTCTAGGATTGTTCTGGTAATTAAATGAGAAAATACTTGCAAAACCTTGGCACAGTACCCATCCTATGGAAGCACTCACAGAATAGCAGGTTTATTTTCTTCTTTTGTTCTAAAGAAAGTATAGTGTGATTTAGCACATGAAATTTTTCCTCTGAGTATAATTTGTAGGAAATGCTAACATTTCTAAGAGTTGGTGAGATAATAGGAAAAAAAAAGAATAAAACTTTTGCATATTCTGCTCTGCAAAGCAATGATGCCAGTGCTATAGTCTGTATAGAAGCATTCAGGGTAGGCACAAAGGCAACAAGAGATTACAAACAAACAAATACATGAACACACCAAATACAACACCACACACACAAAGACTCACAAACAGTGAAGAATACCAGCATCTGAGCAGGCAATAGAAACAATCTGCTTCTCTTGGTTACCAAAATCTAAGCCCCTTCTGAAATCATCTCATATGTTAAAAAATAAAAAAAAAAATAGGATAAAATCTGTATTCAAATATTTCCTTTAGTAAAAGGCAGTAATGGTTTGACCCAATGTGCCTACAGTTTACATATGCTTCCATTTTGAACTCAACATTATGGATTCCTCATTCTACGTACAGTAAAATCCATACCTAGGTCTGCATAGTTAGACTTGAAAAATTGCTTGCGTCCACAAAAGTACAGCTCGAAGTCAGTTTCATTCGACCTGCGCAAAGTGTATCCATTTTCAAGAGCAGCAAAAGCATCACAGGTATAACGGTAGGTAATGAAACCATAGCTGTCTCTGCAACAGACAAAGAGGAAAAGTTCAAAGCCAGTGAGGAAGCATTAGCATATATGACTGTAACCCTTTCCACTTTGGAGACTTGGCTGGTGCCAGCCTCTGAACCACTGCATCCATTTATCAGTGTGATTGTCCTGTCAAGCCGCTAAATACTTATTTCTGGGACAGGAAATCTCAACTAGAAAGATTAATAAATAGGGATGAAAGAAAATAAATAAGGTTCTGAACTCAACATGTCATCTGTCAAAGCATTCCCATCCTGGTAATCTTACAGCCATAATTTTTTACATATGTCAGCTTCTAAACAAGAAATAAGGAGGATTCTCACCCATCATCCCGCAGATTTACTGTGCACTCCTCAATTTCACCAAAAACTTCAAAACGGTCCCTCAGTTCTGTCCGTGTTGTGTCAGGTCTGATTTTACCAACATAAATCACACGGCGCTCTTCCTGGAGGGGGAAGTGAGAAGAGACTTTCTAGTTCTGAAGATAGGAAAGACATTGATGCCAGAACCATTTAAGAAGGCACAATCGTGCTTAACAAGAACCCCCACAGCATGCCAATTAAGGCAAAATACACGCTAAGACTTAACAGAAGACTATGCTTGAACCAAGTTTTACTTTCCATTTCTCTAATTTCACTTACTGCATCTCACTCTCTTCTACCTTTTCTGTCTCTGTTCCTTTGCAACATGAAATTTAATGTATTATTAAAGAAATATGTGTAATGTGGTCTTTTTTATCACTAAAGAGCTGAATAATATCTATTAAATATTTTAACAATTGTGATTCCACTATTAATCTTCAAAATTGGTAAGAAACTGACCTGGTTTGCAAAACCATTTAACTTCTCCTTAACTCAGAATTATAATAATAAAACATGTGCATTTTTAAAATTTCTATTGACAAATAACTTATGTACATTACTGTATAATTTTAAGGTGTACAGCATGATAGTTTGATGTATAAATCTTGATATCCCTCAAAATATTGATTATTAAACTCTAGTATAAATATAAATTACCTTGGGGGCTTATTAAAATGCAAATTATTGGGGTTTATTCCAGCTATATTAAAAATAATTGGAAGATAGTGTTCAATGATCTTTATTTTTAACAAGTATACCCCAGTGTCTCTGATACAGGTGGCCCAAAGACAATAATTTTAAAAATACAGTTTTAAAATATAGGCCATTTTAAGCCATGGGTCTCCAAAGAATAAGAGCTATAAAAGAGGCTATAAATTTCACTTTGCCAGTGAATCTTATTTTAGGAACAGATGTGAAGGGTGTGGCCTAATTTTCACAAGTGGAGTCAATATCATCATAATCTTAAAGTCAACAACAATTTATAACCTACAAAACACGGGAAAAATATTTTATAGCCTGAGAATGGGTTCATTTATTTGAAGAACAAGAACACATTCTTAGTGTAAGATATAATCCTACATTTCTTGTTCTAAGAAGATAAGGCCAAAGATGATCATCTTTCTCAAAAGTGAAAAAAAGATTTTTCAAGAATGGAAGAAGTTAATACAAATGTCCTTACCAACTAACCTGTACATCTATCGATGACAAACAAGAATGAAATGAACTTGCAGTTGGAGAGATTTAAGTTAGATGGAGGCAGAAACTAGGAATCATAGGACTAAGGCACAGATTCAGCTTGCCTAAGACTTTTCTCTGGATGTGCTTAGGATATGTTGTCTTAGATATTAACAACAACAACAACAACAAAAGTCATTTAGGCTTAAGGCAAAGAGATATCCTATGTTATTTACTGAATGCATGTCCTTTTCATGTGTCCAATATTTAGCAAAAGACCTGGCAAAGAGAGGACAATCAATAAATGCTTGTGAAATATAATTGAACAATTCACAGACATATCCTATAATACATATCCTTCCAGGTGATTTGATCATCCATGTCTCATGTTCTTTCATCATATGCAGAACTCATATTTTCATTTTCAATAGGGAAATTACTCTGAGCTTCAGATTCGAATAACCAACTACCTATCTGACGTCTCAGGTTGGGTGTCACCTAGGCACCTCAAACTAGACCAACATTAGCCAAACCAAACTCTCCAATTCATCCTCTTCTGACTGGGTCTTTCCTGAAATGTTCTTGTATCAGTGAAGTTAACACCATCCATCCAGTTATTCAGGACAAAAACCCAAGGGCCTTCCTTAATTCTCCCCACTTAGTCCCCTCCTCACATCCAATCACTCCTTAAGTCCTGTGGATTTTAACTTCCTAAATCTGCCCCTTTAATCTCATCTCCCCTAAATCAAGCTGCCAGCACATCCTTCTGAACTAATATAACAGCCTCTTAATTTGGATCCTGTGTCTGCTGTTTACCCTCCTCCAATTTATTTGTTCACTTCAGCCAGCATAGTTTTTACTAAGAGAATAGGATCATGCCAATTAAGATCTAAAACATTTCAATGCTTTCTCACAACATTTAGGGAAAGACTTAAATCATTAACAGAATCTACCAGGTCCTTCTGTCTGGATCTGGGATCTGGATCTGTCTCCATCTTGGGCTTCAGTCCCCACACCTTATTCTTTCCTCTCCTCTATTTTGAACCACACTGATCTTCTATCAGTCCCTAGTATATACTGGGCTCCTTCCTTTCCTAAGGCCTTTGCATAAGGTGCTTCTCTGCTACTTGGAATAGCCTTTCCACACTGTCCCTCCCTCCTCTCCATCAACATACACACATATTGTCTAGAATTACAGTGAATTCAACAATTGTTTCCTTTCTGAGACCTCAGATGAGGTTTAGTTCCTATTATAAGTTGCTCTAATAGAACAGTCTACTTCTTTGTAGTTCTGTGCTGCTGTTTAGTCACTACCTCTTTTGTGACCCCATGGAGGGTAGCTCACAAGGCTCCTCTGTCCATGGAATTTTCCAGGCAAGAATACTGGAGTGGGTGGCCATACCTTGTCCAGGGGATCTTTCCAACCCAGGGATCAAATCCATGTCTTCTGCATTAGCAGGTGGATTCTTTACTACTAAGCCATGTGGGAAGTCCCTTGTGCCCAATTATAATTAAATATCAATAGCTTATTTAGTGTTCAATGTCTTCAATGTCTATATCCCCCTACAATGAAAACTTTATGAAAGCAGTGACCACATCAGTCCTGTCGAGTACTTATTTTAAGAGTATACAAAACAAGAGTCTTCTTAATGCATATTTGTTGAAAAATCAGTCGATGGCCAACTAATCATTTTCAAGACCAAGCTCCATATGCTTCATCACATCAAAGGTGCCCAAGTGGGGCCCTACTCTCTGAGGGTCTCTAAGACAACGGAGGATGAAAACCAGGTTTGGCGCTTTCATCACAGGAAAAACTTTGCCCAGGTAACTCAGCTGGGTGTACTGACAAAGGTTTCCATGATTTGTTTCACAGGGTTAAGTGTAACGACTCACTTTTTTCACTCTGCTGAAGCAGCTGGTAAAACACAATTCTTTTGACAGCAGCTATTGAGCCTACGTAACTGACCAGATGAAGTACAGTAGGGAGAGTGGGCTGCCCAATTCACTTCCATGTAGATTGTATATCTCAGCTGAAGGTTGTGATTGTGTTGTTGCAGAGCACCCCACACATCCTGGACGTCAATAAATATAAACGGAGATATCCCGGGGTAATGCTGTACACTTGAACAAGGGAATCATCACATCACATTCCATTCTATTTATGCAGCCAGCTCCCTCCAAACAGCCGAACTTGATGGGACTGTTATCTAAACTTCCTGGCGCCTGCTGGCATGAGTGTTATGCACTGCTTTTTTTTTTTTAATGAACATTTTTAGGAAGGTTACTACTGTATAGAGGAAAAGGAGGGAGAAATGTAGAAGAGAGCAAAAAAAAAAAAACTTGAACCATCATAAAGAAATTGCTCAGCTACCATTATAGGAATACACACAGCCCATGTTCATCTTCAAGGAAATTCAAAGTTAAAGCGAAAATCGACCATATGCACGTCCATATGCAGACATATCGGGATAGTCTCTGAATTGCTTCTTTATACGAAACTATATGCAACAATAATCCTACAAAGAGAATAAACCAGAGGACCTTTTATATCAGATACTGATACATTCTGTGGTAAAAAGAAGACACAACCTAGATAGGAGAGACAGAAATAGAAATGACTGGTCCACAATCCCTTAAAATCACCTATTTGACTGTCAATCTCTTTTTATATAACACAGGAATGGGACCACGTCTTGTTACCTTACAAAGATCAGAGGCTGAATACATGTTGAAATTCTCATTTGAGAAAATGATTAGAGTGTTTGGTTTCCTAGTGTTAAAAAAATGAAATTAAAAGGCACCTGAAGGTCTAAAAAGCAAAGATAAAAATCTTCCCAAGACTGGCCAAAATGTCTAGCGAAGAATCGATTATTTTTTAACATGTTGCAGTTTTATTAGACAGATGAATAGATTCCATATCTTTAAAAAACCTTAACATTTGCAGCCAATTTTTCAAGACATTAATTTCTAAACAGGAGATGAAAGAAAAAGAAATCAAAATGCCTAATAACATTTCCAGCTTCTTAAAGGCTTGGAGGAACTCTAAACCTTTGGAAAAAGCTCCTTGAAAAATTATTTTCAGACCAGTTTTCACTATCAAGGAGGATGGGACATTTATCAAGGATCTTTTAGCTTCAAGTTTTACAAAAGTTAGTTTGCTGGTGGGGTGGATAATAAAATTGAAGATTTGTGTTGCATTAATAGGTATGGTAAATCCTCATTATATCAAGACAGGGGATAAATAAAGAAAAAAAATGACTTCATTAACTGACTTCGCAGTATTAAAATCTATATCAGAAAGAGGGTAGAGCTGCCCAGTTAGCTGGGGGAAACATACAGCCGTTGTTTCTCATCAAAAAATAAGCAATTATTGGTAAAAAGGGTTTGACTAACAAGAAAAGGAAATTAGTATTGAGATTAACATTTACTGAATTCTAACAGATGCCAAAGTATTGTGCTTCAGTAAGTGCCTACTACTGTCTAAGGTTGGATAAATTTGAAAAAATCCACATTCGTCTTAGTTAGAACATGAAGGCAATCTAGATGTCCATTGACAGATGAATGGATAAAGAAGTTGTGGTATATATACATAATGGCATATTACTCAGCCATAAAAAGGAATGCATTTGAGTCAGTTCTAATGAGGTGGATGAACCTAGAGCCTATTATACAGAGTGAAGGAAGTCAGAAAGAGAAAGATAAATATTGTATACTAATGCATATATACAGAATAAATCTTCTGTATTTGCAGGGAAGAATTTATTTACAGGGCAGCAGTGGAGAAAGAGACATAGAAAATAGGCATGGGGAGAGAGGAGAGGGTTAGATATATGGAGAGAGTAACATGGAAACTTATATTACCATATGTAAAACAGATAGCGAATGGGAATTTACCGTATGTCTCAGGAAACTCAAACACGGGCTCTGAATCAACCTAGAGGGTGGAATGGGGAGGGAGGTGGGAGGGAGCTTCAAAAGGGAGGGGATGTATGTATACCTATGGCTGATTCATACTGAGGTTTGACAGAAAACAATAAAATTCTGTAAAATGATCTTCAATGAAAAATAAATTAATTAAAATAAATCTAGATTAGTCTGCTTAAGAGCTAATACACAAATAAGAGCTAAGATGCAAGGAAACCCCATGATGAGTCAGAAAACATGAAAACTACAGACTCAGAGCACATATAACTACTTTTGATAAAACTGAAAATTTCTAAGTAGTGCATTCATACTCATAATATAACATATTCACCCATATGGAACAGCTCTTGAAAAGGCCTGAACAGAAAATGACATTATTTTCCCCAAAAAGAATAACTATGAGAAATTAGACAACTCTTTTATTTTTTCATTTGGAAGAAGCTGATAATTTTCAGGGATGAGCCTCTGTTTCTGGCTCCTAGGCTGCATACTGACCAATGGAGAAGAGAAAAGAAATGGCATAGTCATTGCCCAAATACATCTGGTTTTGGATTTAAGCACTGAGCCATTTCATAATGTCTAGATTTGCCCTTTAAATTAACATCCTATTATCACATTTTCTGGCAGGAAACTGTAGAGATTGCAAATGGAGTTGGACTTAGAACTCCACGAGAAATTAGAGCAGTGACAGTTTAGACATTAAATACTAAACTCTGGCTTGCAGAGTTCCAATATAACCTGAATTATTTCAAGCCTGTGAGACTGAGAAAAGCAGAGGATGAACTGGTTTTTGAGCTCATTTAGATGAAAAATGGAGGAAAGCATAACTTACACAATGACAACATTCAACCACAACATATGATTCTGTGTTATTAATTATTAGTCTTTTCTTAGCTATCTGATTCGGTGCACTGAAGTTGGTCTGAATAAAGACTTTTGGACACATACACAGTAATAACCTGATAGATGACCTACACTATCTCCTTCTTAAGGAACTAAGGGGAAAAAAAGTCAATAGTGACCACAAGACAAGAAAGCAAAGGTTAACTTTGTAAAATACCTATTACATGATTGTAACATGTTTTTCATTTCCTTCTGGAGTCTCTGTTTTGCTCATCCCCTGATTATAAAATTGATCTGAATTAATGAATAAATCAGCATTCCACCCAAGATATTCCAAATGTAATTTGCTATTCATTCATGACTTTAAGAGTGTCTTAGAAATCTGAACGAAAATCACCTACATGACCAACTTAGGCAAACTGTCCTAATTCCTTGAACTGTTTCAATGAATGAGTTTTCAATCTAGCCAAATGAGTCAAAAATCATTGCCTTTATCTCCATGCTCAACTCCATAAAAATACACTTTGCAAACACATTATGGCACAAGAAAGCAGATCATTTTGAGGAAGGAAATCAGTCAGAAGAACTTCCTAAGGGTAACCTCACTAAACAGTTCCACTCTGCCTTCAAGATAGTCTTCAAAATCTTCATGATGACTTACAAGACCCTACAAGTATCTGGCTACTAGGGAGCCCCCCAGACTTACCTCCTGCCTCTCCTATACCCTAGTGTTATAATTAAATGACTAGCAGTTTCCCAATATATCTTGCTCTTTTCCAGAGACTTAGTGAGCTAAAGTATCTGCCTAGAATAGTTATTTGCAATAAAAACATAATGTACCATATGTAATTTTTAAATTTTCTGAGGCACATTTTAAAAAATGTAAAAAGAAACAAATTTAATTTTAATAATGTATTTTACTTGGCTCAGTACAGCCAAAATATTATTGTTTCAACTTGTCATTTACATAAAAAGTATTTATGAAGTATTTTAAACTCTTCTTTTTTTTGGTCTTCAAAATTCAATCACACAGTGCATTTAAATTTGGGAGTAGATTAATTAGCCTCCTGGCTGATGGCTACCACATTGGACAGCTCACATGGAAGGAACCTTTGCCTTCTCCTCCCTTTAGATTTCAAATCAATCTTACCCTCTCCAGGGATGGACTCCCTCATTCCCAAGGCTGGGTGCCCACCTGTATGCCACTTCAGTACCTGAGATATATTCTCTATGACAGCAATGAACATATCACGTACCTTTACCAGTCAGTGGACTTGAAGCTCCCTAAGATGTGGGGATAAAGTCTTACCTAATTTTATATCCCAGGTACCTAACATATGTCTCTCACATAATCATGTGTTTTCACTTATATTTACAGAAATACCATCTAATTGTCCAACCAGTTAACTGGTTTAACAGTTAAGTCCCAAATCTTTATATTAATCTTTTACTATCTGTGGGACACTGTGTTAGTAAATAATTTCTATGTCTTAGTTTTCTTTTTTAATGTTTTTTAAAAACAAAAATAAAAATCTCAAAGCCAAAATTCTCACAAACATCTAGCTAATTATAATGGCTTAATATACATCAAGTTGACATTTGCACTGTAATTGCCTTCTTTCAAAGGGAATTTATAAAGATTGTCTTAGTCAAAGAATTAACCAAGGAACTTGTTAACATCTATGACACCAAGGAAAGGCAGGGTGGTATCTGCTTTCAAACTGAGGCTAGTGGCCTCAAGAGTGTTTTTGGCTTTGGCATCTATGGAATATAGAGTATATTACAAATCAATCACACTATTGATCTATTTGCAAAGAGATAAACTAGCAAAAGGAGCCCTCCTTCTCATTCTTCACCCCAGTAAGTATCTGGCACTATATTATCTTTGGAAGGAATAATAAAAGCACATGCCATCTATCTATATTTATCTACTCAGCTTTTGTTATAGCTGTGTTACATTTTGTGCAAATGAGCAAACATATGATACAATAATTTCTCTCTTTAGTGTCACTCTTCTGGGAATACACATGAAGAGTTTCATCAAATATGAATTTGAAAACACTGAAATAGCTATTTACTTACATGCTTACTCAACATGACTCTCTTTGGTATACATGAACTGTAACGTGCCATATTACAAAGCTTTGTAAACTATATGGCACTCTGTAAATGTGAGTTGTTACAGTTATTGAACAGGCTATTAATTAAAAACAGCAAAATTAGAAAAGCTGAATTTTCTATTTTCATTCATCTTGTTAAATGTTAACTAATGATACTCTGGTAGATCTTAATATTACAGCTAATTTGAAAGTTGAGAAAAATGAGGGAAAGTGCTATAATTTTCACAAGGCCTTTAATTCAGTCTTAGGTAGATTCAAAGTTAAATGGCAGCAAAGCCCTAGACCTTGAGCCTAAATATTCAATCACTTCTCCCTTCTTTCTCCTTGAGTGCCTGAGTTAACAAACCTCTCAGTTAACCTTTTTCCTCCAGCTGATGACTGTTGGCCAATGCTTGATTTGGACTTTATTAGTCACTCTTTTATGTAGGTTTTTCAAGATTTTTTGATGGTTGTGGGTTGTGTTAAAGGTACCATATCCATGTAACCTTTATAGTTAAAAATCATTTCCCTAAGCCCTGGTTAGCTTGTATGCAAGATGTATCAAAAGCTGATCTTCACTGAAATGATACTTAGCAACTAACAGACAGCAGTTGCAATGAACAAAAACAGTGCCATTTCTGATGGCTGAGCCATGGCTTCCTGGAGCACCAGGTTGTGAAAGTTCTCAAGGCTCTGCTGGGGCTCAGTGGGAAAGAGTTCCTTAATCAACTAGGAATGTCTGTCTGGGACAAGTACTGGATGCTGACAATTGGATGACCCAATGTCATCCTATGGTTCAACAAACGGAATGAACTAGACTCCTACAATCTAGATCCTCATCCCAAAGGGTCAGTGGTGTCTATGTGTCAAGTAAACACGATGTCCTACAGTAGGTGGTGCTGAAATCCATGATAGGTTATTGAAAAGTAGCTCATTAGAAATGTGGATGTCTGAGGTGTTGACCCAGCCCAAAGAAGAAAGTAGGGACTTAGCAAATCTTTCTCTATCACTGCCTTTAAATCTCACTCAGACACAGTCTCTCCACGGACAACCCAACCCTCACATCTGCCAAAAAGGTGAAACCATCCAGTGACACCTCCTCATTTTCCACTCAGAGCACAAAACAGTAGAGAACAATACGAAGAACTCATCCTCTAGGTCAGTGGGACCAGTATACATCGTGCCTCCTTCTATTTTTAGAAACAAAAGTCAAAAGCAATAATGACCTTCCAGATGGGTGAAAAACAGGTAGTATGCAGGAGAAATACAGGGACTTATTTTGTTTTCCAATAATCAGTGTTAAGAGGGACTGAGGAGTCACTGATGCTAAAGCCAAAAGTCTGAGTTCTGCACAGTCTAACAGCATCCTTACCATATTTTCTAATCTATGCCCATCACATCCCCCCAAAAAGAGAGGGAGAGAGAGAGAGAGAAAAGAAAGCCTTCTGTAAAACGAAAGGAAGCCGCAGGCTGCTTACAATTGCCTTCTGTCTCTGCCGCTCCCTCTGCTTGGCCCTTTCAGATTCTCGCTTCTCGTACTCTCTGCGGTACTCTTCCCTCTTGAGCCTTTCATGCTGGTACTCCTCGTAGCTGTCATACCTGCGAAACACGACTTCATCATTAAGTCAACCACCTCCATCTGCACGAGCAAAAGCAATCATACACTAGGGAGGGGGCCGGGTTTTGGAAAACATTTTGTCATCTCCTTGAGGGATGAGAGGCACAGAGGGAAACGAACGTGCATCGTTACCTGGGCCGCCGGCTATGGGGCGATCTTGAACGTGATCTCGTGCACAGGGGCGAATTTCGGTGTGTGCGGCGTCTGCAGTGGCCTGACTCATAGTAATAGCAAGATCTGAGCGAGAGGAGGAAAAACAAAAAGGGCATTTGCAACTGCCGGCGAACCCCAGTTTATCGGCATGACTCAGTAGCCCCTGGAATTCCGTCTTAACATAAACCGGCTTTCAGTTCCCAAATACTAGTGAGATTTCCCAGGGACAGTGTGTGAGCCTCTAGCCGGCTTAGAGGTCTGGGAGTGGTGACGTGTTCTCTTGCAACATCTCCTACGAATGTGACTGCCAAACGCCAGGCTGGTTCACTGTCAGCTTTATCTTGCATGGATCTCAACTATTCTGCACAGGGCAGCTCTCCAGGTAATGGAAAAAGTTAGATGAGCAAGACCAGAGGGATAGATTGCTCCCTTTGGTCTGACTGGCTCATGTGCTGTGCTCAATGAGGACAGATTTAAGTGATTAAGAAGATGGGAAAGAATGCATGACTAACAACAATCTCCTTAGTTCTGGTAGCACCAGGAACGTGTTGTTGAGGGGCTGGGCTGCCTGTGGGTTTTGAATGCTGTGTTTTTTTTTTAATTCCTGGGGATACCTTAGGCTTTGGGTGGGTTTGGTCAAGGTTTACCTTGAGGAAGATCTACTGCCTGGGGACCTCGATCTTGACCTGGAATATGGTGATCGAGAACACGACCTGTGTCGAGAAAAGGACCTTGAACGAGAGCGCATCCTTTGGGGTCTTTGAGAAAATAAAGATTTGGGTGGTGACACGGAATCTCTACACGGAGAGTTAAAAGAAGAACAAGAAGGTGACACATCGAACAATGAATAGGACTGCGTGCCATCCCAAGGGGAGTTCAGTTTATCACTTTCATCTTCGCTGTCATCAAACAGGCCATCCATGGCTAGTCCTGAATTTATAAACATAGGTAGTTTGGAGAATTGTTCATTACTGAAATCGCTGTCCCTCAGCTCACTGGTCTTGTCTGCTTTGTCGTCAAAACCAGCTTGACTGGGATGGCCGAAGTGCTTGTTCAGCTCGGCTCGGATTTCCTGGTCTTGGAGCTGTCTTCTGGTGCTGCTGGGAGAGACCTGCTTGCTCACCGCCGCGGTCTCTCTCAGGTAGCACGGGTCGGAATCTGTGGAAGAGTGTATCTGCCCCGGCCCGTTGGAGGAGGGGGCATCTTTGTTTTCTAGTTGTCTGGAGTCGTGGAGCTCCTGTGATGTACCAACGAGTATTTCCGTTTTGGAATTAATTGACTGACAATAGTCATGGTCACCAAACAGGCGAAGACTGGGCCGTTTGGCCTTCCTTTCCTCGTGTCCACTGGTGAGCACAGAGGTCTTGCTGAGCTGTGCATACAGCTCAGACTGCTCGGGCCCCTTCTTGGTGGAATTACTGCCTTGGGTACCAGAAGACTCACTGTACCGGGCCTTCTTGGATGGTGGAGGTACCACAGTCTTGCAAGAGGGCTTCAGCTTTGGAGAAGCCCTGAAAGGGTTATCTTGGTTGGCTTTATGAGGAGGAGTTGTGGGTGGAGTTAGGCCTAAGATTAAAAAAAAAAAAGAACAAAAAAACAAGGAGAGAGAAAGAAAAGAGACAGAATGTTGTTAAACGCCAGGATATATTTTCCTCACTTCCCTGAGATTTCAATCAATGGTTAAAACTCATCGAAAAACAAAGGAAACTAAATTCCTGATAAGACCTGAAAAAGTGACTCTGTCCCCAGGAGCCTCTGTCACCAAGGAAAGACAGATATATGTTGCAAGACTGCAGTGAAAGCCCTGATATTTTGTATGTCAAACGCCAACGCGAACAGGTCTTGCTTCCCAGGAAACATGAACGCATCACCACCAGGCAGAAGCAAAGTTCAGGTTCACAAGGGAGTCCTGCCGTCTGTGTGATGGAAAATGAACGCAGCGGTACTCAGGAGACTCGGTGCATGGTTTTGGCCATGTTTGTCCGCAAAGAACATGGGGGAGGATGCAAGAGGGTTAGGAATTTTTGTACAATGAAAGATATCTACCTGTGGTGCCAAAGAATTAGGCAACTTAAAAAAAAAAAGATGGGATGGCAGCAATGTGGGGCAGGGTGGGGATGACATAGGCAACTTCAAAGCAAGTTCAGTAAAATATGGTCTGCGAAGGCAGGGCACCAGACAACTCTACAACCCGACAGCAATGATTGTCTCCACAGTTCATTAACTTAGTAAACCATGGCTAATGTAGGTATAATACATTCTTGTAAGCATAACTAATACATTCTGTCTAAAATATGGTTCTGCAACAGAAACCTAAGTGAACAGTAACACTAAGTATTGCAGTGCCGGTGGACCATTTTATTTGGAGCAGCACATCAGGGTGGATTATGAGGTTGAAGGACTGAAACGAATCCAAGCTTTGGCAACTAGCTAATTAAAAAAAAAAAATGAAAAAATAATGGAAGAAGGGGGGAACATCTGTAAATTGTTGCCTTTCCTGCTCTTCTACAGAAGGACAGAAAATTCCATCAGAAGTCATGATGGGAGACTAGGTGAAGGCTGGTTGGCTCTGTCAACTTCACCCCGAGTAAGTCCTACTCAGCCCTTTCTGCCCAGGAAGAATTGTGGAATGGCTGCAAAGTTGAAGGAACTTTGAAGAAGGGCAGGCTGCAGTTCAAATGCTTTATGCTTACAAGGGAACATTTTAGTTTACAATACACTTTTTATTTAGGAGGATGGGTGAATGCTATTCAGCAAAAAAGAATAAGTCTGCTAAGAAGCCTGGGGTGAGACTTAAGGCAACTGCACATTTCAAGGAAAATTCTACCTTGCTGGAAAAAAAAAAATGTGTATATATATATATACAAGTAGGTCACAGCCAGCCACATGAAGTTTTGGTATGAACAAGAAGACACTGCCTCTCTCCCCTACTTTACAAGAAAGAGAGGAAATTAATATTTTCCTTAAAATGAAATGTGTTTACACCAATATTTGGTAATATTTATCATACATAGCTAATTCTCCCCAAATGAGGGAAAGACATGAACAAAAATACAAAGAGGTGTGATTTTGGAAATCTATCTCAGTTCAGAAAGACAGGGAAATGCAAACACAAAGAGAAGCAAACACTGCTCTTTCTTTGTGACACATCTGAGCCTCAGAAATCTTCCCCTTGTTAGCAGCCTACTGTATCCCTGCTCCCCCTACTTTTTGCTTAGAGATAATAGAGAGGTAACATGACTGAATGAAGCTCACCCTTCTTGTGTTCTCTCTTCATAGACAAGTGTATCTTTTACTCAATCTAAAGAAATTCCTATATGGCCAATTTTCTCTCTTCCTCCCCCTCCTCCATCTACTCCTCCTACTTCCCTTCCCTCTATCTTCTCCTCCTTCTGCTTTTCTTTCTTTCTTTCTTTACCTATCTATCTCCCTCCCCTCTTTTTGTTCCTTCTACCCTTGGGTATGTATGTACCCACATACATATACACCAATTTCTCTTAATACTACATGCTCTCCTGCCTTCAATTACCACTACAACAAATTTAAAGATACCAGTTCTCAGCAAAGAAATGACAAGATCTCAAATATTTCTCACAGGAAGCTAAGATGCTCAAAGAAATAATGATGAATAATCTCTCTTTACTGAGTAAATAACAGTCAAATATTCCAAATGACACAGCCCTTGAATTAGGGGAAATGACATTCAACATCCTCAAATACAACTCCATAAATCTTTTCATGATACTCTGAATTGGGGTAATTTTTACTTTTCTAATAATTTACTGCCAGGATCACTCACTTATCAGATATTGCTATATTTTCACGCTTATCTCTTTCTGAATGTGAATTATATCTTGTCTCTTCAAATAGATTAGCAGCTCTCAGAGGAAATGTTGCTTGGGCTTATTTCTGCAAAACGTTTCACCCGTTTTTATTTGTCTAGATCCTCCTTTACTCATAGGTGTTCCATTTCAGTGGCCCAAGGATCACTTGGGAAGCTGGTCAAATATTTTTAATGACACAGTTCACAGACCACTTACGGAGAGCCACAGTCCTGTCGTGTCTGTGTGGCACGTTGCTTTGATCGCAGGTAGATGTATTTTGACTGACATTGTAGACTTATAAAAAGAAACCCCAAACTTCAGAAACACCAAATTAGGCCACTATTACAGAGAGACTAGTCCTAAAAATAGCTCAGCTATCTAGGGATTTTAAATATAGAAATTCTTTTTCGTCTTGAACATTTGAAACCCTTGTCCTAGTATCTGAGCTCATTATCGCTTAAATAACCGATTCTCACGTTGCTCTTGGGAGTGCCGACACCGAGTAGTTTCTTAGAGTTAAAAACAAAGCTTTTCACATCCTTCACATTTTAGATGGACCGTGGAGATTAAATAGACATTCACTGAGGACCTACTATGTGCCAAATAGCCTACCAAATGCTGGTGTTTCAGGGATTCAGCCCTCAGGACTTCATAAAGAGATCACTCCTTAAAATCTGCAGTAAGTCCATGTTCTTGTGTATCTGCTCAAAATTTACAGAAACACCATAAGATAACCAGATAGACCTTATGAGTGAAAATATCAGGGCTGGTAAGTTTCAATTTGCACTGCTCATTAAAACAAATATAATACTCACTTAGTTGATGGAAGTTATTTTTGGATTAGGAGTAGGTGGACAGGAAAAAAAATAATTCAGATCATTCCCTAAACTTTTTACTTTTAACTGAAAACTTCTTTAATTCAAGAAGAATATCCCAAAGCAAGACTGAGACATCTTGAGGGTCACAAGAGTTCATGGGACCAGAGTCTCATTGAAAATCTATTTCCAGATAGAGTTCCTGACATCCAGAGCAAAACAAAACAAAGTGAAGCAAAAGTGTCAGAAGTAGTTTTTGTTTCTTCTAATGTGATGTCCAGAGTTTAGGAGCCATGGACACGACAGGGAAGCCTTTGCTGCTCCTGAACTAATTTGATTTCTCTAACCCCATCTCCTCCATCCAGAAGGTTCTCCCTTGTGGTAGGAGGGCAGTCAATACTCAATTCCTCAATGCCACTACCCCTGTCATCTTCCCACTAATCGCTGGACTCTCAATTTCATCCCACAAGCCTAAATCAACAGTGCTAATGCCTCCCATAACCTCCGGATTATTTCCTGTGTGTTGATTTTCTGGGGAATGTGTACATTTTGGTGTTGACAGTACAAGGTATATTCCATGCTCTCTCTTGAACTTAGCAGGTTTTGATAGATTTATGTGAGGACAGATGGCCATTACGGGCTGAAGGCTGACAAGAGGCAGTTCAGAACATTGTTAACACACTTGCACAAACTCTCAGCAGTGCGGCACTGTGCAGAATGTAATTCAGACTATAGCTTTTTTATTGCTGCCTATTTTCTTTTGTCAAAAGAGCCTGCTGTGCAGAGCAACAAATGGCTGCTATTACCCAGAATGTAATGGGTGTCAGACAAATCACGTAACACAAACAATCAAGAGTATGTAGGTCATATTTCAACAGAGCACAACCTTAGCAATATTTATGATTACTGCATTGAAATGTGCTCTATAATAAACAAGTACCTCTACATCACTCACACTTATGCACTTCTGCACAGCAAATCTGGGGGAAGTGGGACACACTCTCCAGTTATCTTTTTAAACAAACCTTTAAAAAAAAAAGTCAGAGACAAGTTTGGTTTGGTTTTGTGTTTCATTATGTGATATAAAACGATTTCCTTTGAGGAGTTCTCTTTTGGGTTGGTTTGTTTAATTGAATGACTCTAATAAATGGCGGGTCCTCAACTCTGTATTCCGTGCTCCACTATCCAGCCAAAGACTTCAGCAAGAATTTTTTAAATAATTTACATAGTCTTATGGCTTGCATTTGACACAACCTCTTGCTAAATCTGAGACTGACAGTAGGATTTTTCTTATGTTACATGCCAATTCGAAGATTTCTCAAGGAAAGAAAATGAGAAAATTATTTTATAATTTGCTTAAAAACTTGCCAAAGAAGGAAGACTATGCAAAGAGGTCTGTGACTTGAGTTTATGCACACACTTTTGGCTTCAAGAACTTGGAGTGGGTGTCAAGGGCGCATAGGAAGGACTGAAACTCAATCAGTATGAACTGTTTACTGCTACTGTTACTGCTAATATTCTGTTTATAAAAGCTCCCCCAGTACTCTTTCTTCATCCCTAACTTCCCCAGGACTCACTGGATCTTTACAAAAGCCAGCAATCAAAGTGTTAACCCCTGGCACAGAAAGGCCTGTCCCACACCCTCCTCTGGTACCCAGGCTGGCATGTCCACTCTGACTGATGGAGCTCCCACCTTTCCTGCTATGTCACTCCTGGTTACTGGGGAACAAACTGGCCTTACAGAAAAACTTCAGAACATTCCCATGACATGTGTCTAATGCCCCAACTCTTTCTCTTGGAAAATGTAGAGCTGTTATCCATTGGCCCTCAGGCACTTTCTCACAGAGCTGGGGCAGAAGTTGTCAGGGCAGGGAAGAGACTGGCTTTTTCCAGGTGTCTCTCACCAAACCCCTGAAGTAGATGTGGG